AGGACTGGGAAACAGAGCTATCCCATCAATCCCTGTACTTTCTACCTTAGGACACAGGTGCAGGAGAGTTAAACAATGGGGCCCAGGGGGACAGAAAAGCCACTGCCGTTGCGTTGATTCTGACTCTCATAGCAACCCCACAGGACGGAATAGAACTGCCCTTATGGGTTTCTGAGACTAAATATTTTTAGTAGGAGAAAGCCTCTCCTTTCTTCTGAACAAGAACTCAGAGGGGTGCCTAAAAGAGCCCAGCCTTCTGTCTTGTCCCTTTTCAGGGTCAGCAGTTCGAACTCATCAGTCACTCCTTGGGGAAATGATGAGGCTTGCTGCCCAAATTTACAGGCTCAGAACCCCCAGGGGCAGTTTTCCCCTACCCTGCAGGGCGGTTATGAGTCAGAACTGACCTGGTGGCAGTTCTCCCCTATCCTGCAGGCGGTTATGAGTCAGAACTGACCTGGTGGCAGTTCTCCCCTATCCTGCAGGCGGTTATGAGTCAGAACTGACCTGGTGGCAGGCAGAAAACAGCCTGGAGGAACTAGGCTAAAACATGTGCCTTCATTGGTCAGAGACCAGTGGGTGCCTGACATGGTCTCCGATGATAAAAACATGTGCCTTCATTGGTCAGAGACCAGTGGGTGCCTGACATGGTCTCCGATGATAAGCTAATAATGGTAGGTGCTTATTACATTCTCTCTGGGTACAAGACTTCAGGGGTTAGCGGTTAGAAGTTTGCCCTTGAAAGGAGAATTCTGGAGGTGATACAGCCTTAGTGGTCCTGGGCAGCTAGAGAGCAGGGACCAGCTATAAGGAGTGAGCAGGAGGCAGGGCACCCAAACCTTGGCTGCCTTCCCTCTATTGGCTCTCGCCAGTTCAGAGCCTCTTGGGCCTCCCTTTAGCACCTTTTTCTGTTTGTTCCTCTGTCTGAGATTCAGGAGCTCAGGTAGTGTAGTAGTTATGTGTTGGGCTGCTAACTGCAAGATCAGCAGTTTGGAACCATCAGTTACTCTTTAGGAGAAAGACAGGGCTTTCTACTCCTGTAAAGAGTTGCTCTCTTGAGAATGACAGTCTTGGAAATTCACAGGGACAATTCTACCCTGTCCTATAGGGTTGCTTTTTGGTTTTGTTCCTATTTTAGGTTACTTCTTTTGATCTGTATCCCAATGTCATTAAAGCGGTGGCTGTTGACTTTGACTCATGACAGCCGTGTGTGTGTGTGTGTGTGTGTGTGTGTGTGTGTGTGTGTGTGTGTGTGTAAACAGCACTGAGCTCCCTAGGGTTTTCAATGGCTGAGTTTGGTGGAGTAGATGGCAGGTTTTTCTTCCAAGATTCAAACCTCCAGTCTTTTGGCTACTTCCTCAACAAGTGGTGAGAACTTGGCTTCTAGACTAGCGAAGTCCACGTTCTTTTCTTTGTCACTCTGGGGGCTGCAATAGAACTTAAATTCTAAGCACTTTGGGCTCCCACTATAAACCATAGCCCTCCAAATATTCAGCTCCCATTGAGTTCATTCTGACCATTAACTAGAATGTAAAAAGCTTTGTCCTCAGGCAGGGTGTTTGAAATCAGATTACTGGGAATTCCCTAGACAGCCCAGGCAGGGGCAGTTTTGCCCTTAGGGACTTGTCCTTAATGGGAATTGGGCTACTAGGGCACTTAGTCTGAGTACCCAGTCCTACCAAGGTGGTCCGAGGGCTCCAGAACCAATCTCGCAAACTTCTCTAGTGTACAGCAGGGTACGGATCCGCCATGGTCCCTCCCTAATTTCACAGTCCACTCTGTGACTGTGATGAATTGATCTGCCTCCAGTCAGGCTTTGTGAGGAATCTGTTGTTTTTCATACTTTTGGACACCATTATGGTCACGCCGATGGCCTTCCTCTCCGGGATGGATTGCTCATGCCTTGTCCTAGTCCTCTTTCAGACTGAAGGTACCTCTATGAAATGTGTGTGTGACTCTGGGGTCTTTCCTTACCCCCACCCTCAGAACAAGATCCAGAATCCTTCTGTTTGTCAAGGACACTTACCCACTTACCACTCACTCACTGTGGCACTTATACACTCTCCTGTTAACTTGCGAAGGGGTGGAGTCTAGCCTGTCAATCAGGTCGCAGCTTGATGACCTCATTTTGGAGGCATGATAGAGATAAAATAGCTTCCTGGAGGCCAGATGCACTCACTCTCTGCTTTGTCTTCCTGCTGACAAGCCACATGGAGCTACACTGGTGCAGCCAGAGCCCTGGAACTGGAGAAGCCATGTGGAGACCCACACCAGTGCTGAGATACTTCCACCACCACTGGATCCACAAGACTGCTCCCACTGGTCTGTGATCTTCATGCATTCAGCATCACTGCATGGCTGCATGAGTCTAAAGAGGGTTTATGGACTAGTATTTATGTATGGGCTAATATCGGACTTATGGACTGGATCTGGACTGGGTTGGGATGTTTTCTAAATATACAATTGCTCTTTGATATAAAGTTTTCTCTTACACACACATAAGTGTCTCTGAATTGGTTTCTCTAGACTACCTGGACTAACACACTCACATATCCGGCTGCCCAACCCACATACAAGAAAAAACAACTCGAAAGGTAGAGTTTTATTTCAACCAAAAAAAGTGGCATTCAATACCCATCCCATAACAAACTACAAACTCTTAAAATACAGAGTAAAAAGGAAACCCAACCAGTCTTGATGGGACAAAAATTTGGTTTCACAAAGCTGAAAAATCGATTACAAAGTCTCTGTTGTATAAATATAGTCAGTCTTATCTTTAATGTAGAGTCAAACAAACAAACAAACAAAAAAGGTTTTGTTGGCATAAGCAAGCCCCTGGTCCTGGAATAAATCACATCTTCCTTTCTATCCCTGGTCAAAGACAGAAGGGCCCTGTATGACAAGAGTTCCGCCTGTACATCCCAGGATTCTAGGGAACCAAATGAACTTCCACGTTTGACCTCCCTCCCCCAGTCGCCTGTGCAAACCACTCGAGCGTGCTCTGGTTTCAGGGAGACAAGGCCTTCCTCCCCCATATGAACTCTAAGGCATGTGTTCTCAGGCTGGTTCTGGTGACAAACACACAGCTCATCGAGTATCCTGAAAGTCACTGAATTGTACATTTTTATTCAGGTGAGTTGTATCACAGATGAAGTATCTCAATACAGCTGTTTAAAGAAGTTTAACATGTCTCAATTGCTGGGGTCACTGCATGTGACCTCAATAGCATACATAACCCAGGGGCTCCTGGCAGGTCACTAAGAAGAGCCTTACAGTAGTATGACTAGGTCACTGGGTTTGAGGCTTTCTGGGGACAGTTTCAAGATGTCAGAATAAGTAAATCAACAAGGAATGCCCCGCCTCCCCCCCCCGCCCCCCGGTTTCCATAACAATCTGAGGATCTTTTGTGCCCTTTGCCCCCAAGAAAGTTACTCTGTGAAAAGCAGAGGCCTCGGGTGCTGGTGGGGCTACTGGACAGAGGCTTTACGTCAGCACTCAAGAGCTGGCTATCTGTACCCACTGCATGAAATTCCAACATGGCCACCGGCTTTGAGAGCCTAACACCCTCAAAAAAGGAGGGTGGACCTGGTTTTCTGGCGTCACCCTGCCCTCTGTGGCATGTTAATGACCCGCTGGTCGGGGTACAGCTCCAGATCTCCTTGACTTTTACCATCACCGACGCGCCCTGGCCTACTCAGACAAGCCATTCAGTGGTGGACAGACCACTTACGAAAGCCATCTCCAGTCTCGGTTACCAAGTGCCCACTGGAGGAGGAAATCATGGGCAGCTGGGCTCTCACCAATGAATGGGCTTTCTAGTCTGACGGTGGCGACAGAGACTTGCCCGTAGAAGACGGAAAAGGTCTGCCGCTCTGTTTCTTTAAACTCACCGGTGATAGTGGACGTGTAAAGTGGATCACCTCTTGCAAAGGCTGCTGTCAGGAATGGGGGCCTTTAATTTTTTTCTTTTTTTGTGGGGGTGGAGGGGGATAAACAAAGGAAATGAGAGTGGGGGGAGAGGGGAGGACAATGCTTTCGAGCAAGAAGTAGCTCAGTCAGGCAAACACCTTGTAAACACCGCCTGCCTTCCCTCCCTGAAGATCATGGTTGTGCAGCTAGGGCTGGCGCCTGGGAGTCATTTCCTGTTTGGCCATACAGCCAGCTGGAGGACTCCATGTGAGCCGGAGTGGAACTGTCTTCCGAGGGTTCTCCAGGACTGGCTTTCTTTTGGGGAAGCAGATCATCAGGTGTTTCTTGTGAGTGGGCTCAAAGTCAACCCTTCAGTTAGCAGCCAGGCATATTAGCTACACAGCCTAGGGATGCCTTGGCCAGTCCAGAGGCTATTTATTCTGAGGCGGAGCAGGTGGGTGGGCCTGAGAAGCAGGTATTGCCTACCTCAGGGCTATCCCAGGATGCCCCATAGGAACCCTGACCTTCGGGGACTGGAGGACTCAGGGTGGGGAGCTTCTCCATCACTGTGGGTGAAAGCTGTGGGGGATGATCGGAGGTACAAAGCATGGGGGTAGACCAGTCAACCAGGGCGGAGTCATTTTCCCAAGGACCTTTTTCCTTTGGCTCTAGTGAGACTTATCACATGATTAAGAAAAGGGAATAAAACACTGGGTGTAAAAAGTGGTGTTTTCAAGATGCCCTTCTCTGTTGCCTCGTTGTGCTGAACAAGACTTCCCCTAAACACGGCTTACTCACCTTGCCCTCCAGCCTACGCTTTGCACGCCCTTTTGAACAGGTTCTCGGGGTCTTGGGGAAGAAGCCCAGAGCTCCTCACCCGCCTCTCTCCGCAGGAGATCACGAGTCAGGGCCCCTGGCCAGTCAGGGTCAGAAGTCCTGTTTCTACCCTCACCTAACAGGGCAGGAGCAGTCGCTTCTATAGTGACGCGGAGGGGACCGTGCTCAAAAATCGGGCTCTGAGATGCTGGGCCAGCGTTTGAAGCTACAGCTCCCGTGGCCGCGCCGTACAGGGAGACAAAGGACAAGCCAGGGAGTTCTAATATCAAGTGTGGATATATTTGGCAGGTTTGGGGCAAGCAGGGTTTGGGTCCTCTATTTAAAAAAAAAAATCTGAAATAGAAACTTCTGCTGATAAGGCCACAGTAAGAGATTTCCAGCAGAGGGTGCTGCGGGAAGCCTGCGCCGGGTCGCCCGGGCTCGCAGGGGGCTCTGCGCAGGTGGCGTGGCGTGGCGAGGCGGAGGGGGCGTGGCGAGGCGGAGGTGGGCGTGGCGAGGCGGAGGTGGGCGTGGCGATCTCACAGGTCCACGTCGGGGCCTCCGGAGGACGTCTTCAGGGGCACCGAGTCAAACCCGTCGGGCGTCCTCTGAAAGACACACGGGGACAGGCGCTGGCTGCTGGGCACACGGCCAGTGTGGGGCGCCGAGGAAACAATGGGAGAGCGGGTGGCAGAAGGAAGCCTTCCGGGAGCCCCACTTCCGGGGGCCGTGTGGGAACCTTGGGAAGCAATCCCCTCTGCCCCGCTTCTGGGCCTCTGCAGAGCCACTTCCAGGACGGGGTCGTCTATAAGCTCGACCCCCGCCCCGCCTCTCTGCTGAACTGTGGAAGCCCGGGCAGGCCCAAGGGTCCCCAGTGAGCTAGCCTCTCCCCGCTCAAAGAACCCAGCGCCAAGGGGCCGGGCCCTGCGGGCTGCCGGGGTTGTCGGCGGTGCGGCCCGTGCTGCACTTACGAGCTTCCCAGTCACGCACCCACCCGCACCGAGCAACCCTCCCAGCGCGGACCTGCGCCCAGGCCGCCCCGCCCCCCAGGCCCCGGCCCGGAAGCTGGGGACAGCGCCCCCCGCTGGTGGAGGGGCAGCGTGGCTTCCCGCTGAGAAGTTGCCCGCAGAGCGCACCTCTCTGACCCTCTCTGACCCTCCCCGCCAGAAGGAAAGGAGGGGCATGTTTCTTACAACGCGGTTTGGTTCCGTACTTCTGGGAGCTAAAAGGCCCCAACAGGCCACCGACTGGAGTGCATGCTGGGAGAGAAGGAACTCGGGGTCAAGAGCAGCCCCATGGGCCCGTGGGAAAGAGAGCTAGTGTGGACATAGACAAGGGAGAAGAGAAGGCGTGTGTGTGTGTGTGTGTGTGTGTGTGTGTGTGTGTGTGTGT